TGGTCTGTCCCTCCTTACTTCCTCCTTCCTCGCTCTTTTATGTAGATCTAAGCCAAACCTTGGATGTACATAAGTAAAGATAATACATTCCCTTCACCTAAGGTCCTACTCAGTGATGCCAGAAACTTGGCCCATCTCTTCCCCCATGACTAACGAATACCCAAGCTTTCTCCCAGCCACTGTTGCTTCAGCCCCTCAGATCCTGAGGGGACCTCAGGACAAACAAGCACACTGAGACAAGGTATGACCCAACTAGCCCCACAATGCCATCCACACTTCCCATGGCATTGTGACATCAGGGCAAGAGGCCAGAGCTGTATAAACTGTCCTCACAACCGTGACCTCAGGCTTTCCCATGGGATCTGGCAATGTGGAGGAGGGATGGAAGCCAATGCCCACATGTGGCCTGGGATTTGCCCCAACCTGTCCTCTGTGCAGAGAGAAGGGGCAGGAGCCTCCTGGGCTGTGGGCTCTTCCCTGTCTCATGGTCCAAGCTGAGTCACAGGCAGCAGACAGCCAGGAGAGCTAGCAATCAGTGGACTCCCTTCCTCCTGCCTGCAGGAGTGGGGACCATGCTGCTCTGCCTTCTGGGTACCCACTGGCTTCTGGGGGAGATCAAGTGAAACAAGGGATGGGGCCCCCACACCCCCATAAATATATTGGTTCCCTCATTAAGTGAATGTGGAGCGCCAAACCACGTGGTCCCAGGCACAGTGGTAAGTGCTGAGGTCATAAGGAGGTCCTGCCCTTGGGCGGTTCACCATAGTGGAGGAGATCCTTGTAACTGGCTGATGGAGTTTACCACAGGGTGCTATGGACTCCAGAGGAGAGGCACACGCCAGACCAGCATGGGAGAATCAGGGAAGACTTCCTAGAGGAGATGGCAGTGCTAAGCTTCAAGGGGCCACTGGGATGGATGATGTGGAGAAGGGCAGTTCTAGGACAAGTTTAGAGGCTCAGAAGAGGGAGAGAGACTCAAAACTGACACTCTGCTAACTAGGACCTGGAACATGCTCCTCCAGGGCCCCAGGCCAGAGAGATGGTGCGAGGTCTTGTGCTGTGTGACCCTGGTTGAGGAAAGGCTGGTGCGCTTGTCCAGCCAACTCCCTGTATAACCACACGTCTGTGTATCTGTACCATCCCTGGGGCTCTGAGCTACCTCTCTGCAGCCCTTCTCCCCCAGATTCTGCCCGTCAGGCACAGAACAGCAGTGTGTGTGTGTGTGTGTGTGTGTGTGTGTGTGTGTGTGCGCGTGCACGCACGTGCACGCACATGTGCGTGGACGCTCATGCGTGCGTGTACGCACATAGTTGCATGTGCAGCTGTGAGTACCGGAGGAGGGGCCTCTACCAAGTAATTACTACCTGTCTCTGGAAACTGGGGCTATGTCTGCAGATCAGAGTGAGTGCTACTGGGAACAGTTCATGTCTGGTCAGAGTGTGACCCAGGGACTGACAATCTGGGCAGGCGAGACCTGGGGACCAAGGTCTTAGGAGCAGGGTCACTGACAACCCGGGTAGGTGAGGCCTGGGGGCAGAGATCACAGGACCAGAGCCAGGCCTGGCGATTTCTGTGGTGACCTGACCTTCAGCAGGGGATCTTCCCCAAGCCCGGGAAGGCATGCCACACCTAAGCATTTCATCTATGGTGGGCAGCAGAGAGGACGGGCACATACAGGCCCAGGGCCTCCAATAACAAATACGTGAGCTGAAAGGAAAGTCTTTCTTGCCCTGACTCTGTTCTGAGCTGAATGGGGAGGAGAGGGGTTTGCCCCAGACTTGCTTTTGTGGTCAGAGAGAGGTGTACCCCCATTTGCTTCGTACAGTGGCTAAGTGCCCGAAAGGGAGTCTCACTGTCTTCCAGAATTCCGAACCAGTGTGCCCTCTCTCCTACAGGTGGAAGGTTTGGGACCTTAGCCATTCCATGCCCTTCGCCCCTTCTTTGGCTTCTCTCCTCCCTCTCCCTCCCTCCTTGCTGCTCCCTGCAGGTCCCTGTCCGTACTCACCCCCAACAAGGCACCCTTTCCCCAGCTGATGCAGCCTGTAGCCTCATGCACCCAGGCAGCACAGACAGCCTGCTCTCCCCTGCCCTTCCCTTTGCCTGACAGTAACCTCTTCCACAGCTGATGTCACCCTGCTTTGCACTGACACAGCAGCTGAGCTGGGCACAGCAGGGCTGCAAGGTCCAGAGGGCAGCTGGCTGTATGCAGAGCCAAGATTCCCTCCGTGCCCCCTACCCCCAGCCTTTCCCAGCCAAGAGTCTGCTGCTCTCCCTCTGGGCCAGTTCCATACTCCGAGCCAGTGTATCCACCTGGGGATTGAGTGTTGACGGAGGCTTCACAGTGCCCAGTGGAAGGCCAATTCTCTGTTCTGAAGGGGACAGGGGTGGAGAATGGAGCCAGAGTTCTGGTCCTGCCCCTGGGGAGCTCACAGCTTTCCAAGAGAAACAGGACAAAGCACAAGAGCTAACCAGGCGGGATCATATCTGTCGACGGCAGAGTATAAACATACCATACATATTAAGTGGGGTATGGGTTCAGGAAAGGGAGAGGGGCCCTTCCTAACCGAAGTGCCCCTAGCATTGATTAGAAGAAGAGGATGGGCCTGAGACAAACACATTTAGCATTTTTTTTAAGTGTCTACTCCTGTGCACTGGGCTAGGTGCTCTGACAAACTACTAATATTTATTGACGTATTTAACCTTCTTTTACAAGGCTCAGAAAAGCTGTGCCCGTCTGGGGCTCGGGGTGGAGGATGATGTGGTGGGACTGTATCACCTGCATCTGCTGGGTGTGTGAAAGATACTTCGTAGATTTGTCTAGTAAGTAGTGCTTTGCCAAGCACAGAACCATCGTGCTAAGCAGAGAGTGGGAATGAGTTGTGCTGGTCCTGCTTTTCCCAACCCCTACCTGAAAAGGGAAAATCCTACACTTGCCCCCAGCTTTGCCTTTGACGTCTAGGCGTAAATAATGTAATCAGGGTGGATTTCCAGGCTAGTTCTCTGCTGCTCCCAGGCCAGGGGTTGGCTGGATGCCCTTTTAAAGCCCAGAGTTATTTCCTTCTATTTCCCTAAGGGACTCTGGGTTTGCAATGTCATCTGGCCCAGACATGCTCTTGCAGAATCCTTGGTTTCCCCATGTGCTCCTTTCAGGCAGCAGCCCAGAGAGCCAGCTGTATTCATCCCATCCCTGCCAGGCCTGTCTTTCAGCTGAGGACCAGCCAGGGGGATGGAGGCGCCAAACCCAGACAGAGTTCCGCACACAGCGGTCCCCTCGGCCCAAAGAGCACTCAGGGCGCCTTCAGTGGCAATTGACTCAGTCAGTCCCTGTCGTGCCAAGCACCCAGCAGTCTTCTTTCCTAACACCCTTCTTACCAAACTTCTGCTTTCCATGGGCAAATGCCAACTTCTTCTTCCTGACCCCCAGGAGCTACCTGGGCCTCTTGACCATGTGAAAAAGCTATGGCTGCCCTGTTATATACTTGGCCTTGGCTAAGGCCAGAACCATACTGCCAACTCTGGGGCCAGAGGAGGGTCACCCGAGACAGCAGGACCCCAGGAAAGGGATGGGGCCTGGTGCTGGCCAAACGCTTCCTGCCAGGGCAGGCTGGCACCTGGGCCTGTGAGTCAGGGCTGAAGCCAACACCCAGCTAATCCCATTACCTCCTTCACTTTTCAGGGCTTATAAGCAAGAGGGCGGCAAAGGCAGGGCCCGGAAAAAGTCGGGCTTTCTTGGGAGGGTGCAGGTGCCTGGATCCATCCAGGAGAGCAGAGAGTCAGGGAATGGGAGGGAATGGGAGGAGCCTGTTCTCGGGTCTCTGGGGGGTGGGGTTGGAAGGTGGGGAGTAAAGTCAACACAGAGGTGTGAGGTGGGGATTGAATTACCCCCCTGAGAGGTGGGGAATACAGGTGGCCCTTGGTGGAGACTCCTGAGGGCTGAGGTTACTCCTTCTCCAAAGGAAGGTGTGGAGGCCATGAGAACAGGCCTTACGGACCTCCACTACTGGTGGAGTAGTTGACCAAGAGCCTCCACCTGGGCCACTTCTAGGTGTGCAGCCTGGGAACTTCCAATTCCTAGGAGCAACCCAGCCAATAATTGAGCTCAGAAGGGATATTAAGGCAGCCCCGTTCCTGGGAGACACAGAATTCTACTGGTGGTTTATTTTGGCTCCTTGAAGGTCCTGGCAAACCTTTCTTAGACTAACTATACTACAGGAATCCACCCAACTTTCCTACCCTCTCTCCTTCATTCAGGGTCAGACTTACAGTCTGGTCTGACAACTCTCCCAGCCTTCCTAGGCTCACTCCCTGTCTTCACTCACAGGTGTTTCCCCCACTAAAAACCTTTGCACCTTTATCCAGTCATGGCTACTGCTTCTCAAAAGACCCAGGTTAACTCAGAAAGCTACTGTGTCTCCAGAATGATAAATCCCTGTGGGTTAGGACCGGTTAGCAGGGCCAGAACCTTTAGAATTACCCAGAAGAGAAGAATAAGTAACAGGAAGGAGCAGGGGAGAGAAACAATCCCTAGGTTGGAGACCCTCTGAGCGCATAGCCTTCCAAACTGGTTTTGTCTGCACTTAAACTAACAGGAGACAGGGTGAGGGTCCTGCTGCCACCTGGTGGAAATTTTAGGCAAAGCACCATTGCACCTTTCCACTCTTCGGTGATTCTGCTCAAGAGGGTAGGAGTGGAGAATTTATTCTGGGGTTTGGGGTCCTCTCTCCCTCATTAACAGCATAAATTAGAGGAACTGAATTCCAAACTTTGCACTCAAACGTTTATCCTTTAAAATCATCACCATAGTTGTACATGTCTGTGTAGATGCTAAAAATCATTGGCTGTACACTTCAAATGGGTGAACTGTATGGTCTGTGAATTATATCTCAATAAAGCTGTTTTTAAAATTCAGCACCATAAAAGGAGTTGGAATGAACTGAAACTTTTATTTTTTTTTATTTTATTTTGTATTGGAGTATAGTTGATCTACAATGTTGTATTAGTTCAGGTGTATGAACTGAAGCTTTTCGAACATGAAGATGAGGATGGTGGGTTTCGGTTTCTTGGGACATCCCCAAACAGATATGCAAGAAGGTCACACAGCAGGTACTCAGTAAATACTTAGTAAATTACGTGTGCGGTTAAATGGAGCCACTTCTTTCATTGCCTCACCACCCACACCTTAACCTCTACACCCCGACTCCTCCAAATCAGGCATCTCCAGCCTCCTCACTTTTCAAGGTCTCCTGAGAGATTCTAGTCTAAACATCCAAAAGCTTTTATCGGAACCCATGACCTTTTAGCACCATTTGATACTGTCCATCAGCACCCTCTTCTTAAAACACTCCTCCTCTGGCTTTCGTGTCCTCAAAATCCCTGTCCCTCCTCCTGTCTCTAATGACTCTCTCTCCCTTTTGGCCCCTCTTCCTCCAGCTCCTTAAGCCCTTTTCTCTCTTTGTTCAATCCAATCCTTTGGCAATCTTGACTGTTCCTGTGGGTCCAATAAACACTTTGAGCCACACGATTCCCACATCGCTCTCCCCAGTCTTTATTACCCTCTCAAACTCTAACCCAAATTGTTCAATGGCCTCTCAGATTTTCATCATCTTAACACTTCAGAGTCAAATATACCTAAAGCTGAATTCCTCACCTTCCTACTGAAACCCGCTCCTTTTGATCCTTCTCCTCAGCCCCCTTTTAATAGCATCACCACCCTTCCAGTTGTCCAGGTTTGAGACCTTAGATGTACTTTTGATTTCTCTCCCTTGCACCCCACATCCAACCCGGTGCGTTATAATCCCAACAGATTCTGCCTATGAGATTTCTCATATATCTTGCCATTCCTTTCTATTCTTATTTCACCGAAGGAAATTCAGGCTTTCGTTATCTGCCCCTGAACTAGCACAGCAACCTTCCAACTGATTTTCTTGCTTCCAGTTTCTCCCCAAACCAACCCATCCTGTTGTCACACTATTTTTCATAAAATATAGCTTTAATTTCATTACTCTGTTCACATGCTTCCTTTGTCTTTCTGTTGCCTAATGAATTAAATGTCTGGTATCTGAGGCCTTCCATATTTACTCCCAACTCTCTTTCCAGGCTTCCTATTCTCCACCCAATGTGGGATTGTTCTTCCAAAAGAGGCTTACTTCCAAGTTCCCACCTGCCTCCCTTTGTACACTCTGCTGCCCCTGCATGATGACACACAGGAAGTCATTATCACTGTAGTCAGACCCAATTCGGAAGCCTAATGCCACCGTAAGTTCTCTCTCTGATCCTCAATTTCTTCCACCCATAAAATGGAGATAATGAAAAGCTATCCCATAGGATTGTGTGAGAATTAACTGAGATAATACACAGTAAAGTGTCTGGCATGTGGGTGGTTAATAAATAGTAACTATACTTTATTAGTGTCTCTTAAAATATTATCCATCCTTCAAATTCCATCTCAATGCCATTTCGTTCAAAATTCCTTTCTTGACCTTCCCACTTCCAAACCCAATCTCCTCCCTTCCTCTGTTAGATGCTGGACTTCTCATTACATTACTTATCATTGTAGCTATTTTCATACCTGTCACACATTTCGCTCATATTCTTCCCCAACTGTAATCTCCAAGGAAGTAGCAATTAGGCTTAGAGCAAGCCGGTGATAAGCAAATCTATTGCATGATGACTCCCATGTCAAGAAATGAACTGTACTGATATTTCGCTGACGGGGAGAGCTAGTGTGGTGAGGGCAACCAGCCAAGAGGTTCTCTGAGTCTCAAATGAAAATGAACCTCAGGTGTCTATGAACATAACTACTGACAACCTCAGGTGTCTATGAACATAACTACTGACAACCTCAGGTCTCTATGAACATAACTACTGGCTTTTAAAAAATTATTATTTTTTCCAAATATGAAAGTACTCATAATCATTGTAGAAAAAAATCAGCAAAATAAAAAGCATCTATAATCTCACCATCCAGAGCTATTGCTACTAAATTTTTTATTCTTCAATATTACTCCTTTTTTTCTGATGCATCTCTCTAAGTATATACACAGGAAATTTGGATTCTATAGATGTATATGCCAGAATTTTCATATAACATATATTGAGCATTTTCTATGACATTAACTATTATTCAAAAATGTCGTTAATTTCTGCACAAAAATCCATTATGTGAATGTGTCTTAATTTATTTAATCTTTTCTTTTTTTCTATTGTTGGATATTTGGGCTTCCTCTTTTTTAGCTTTTTCTTTTAAACTGTTATCAATCATGCTGATAGAAATACCAAGACAGAGTTCTAGATTTGGGATTACAGGGCCAGTGGAATAAAAGAAAAGAAAGCTCTTGGTTCTGAATTCCTGTTCAGGAATTTTTTTTTAAATTTTGAAATACAATTGACCTTTATTGAGTTATGATTGCCATACAAAAAGCTGTACTTATTTAATGTGTACAACTTGGTGAGTTTGGCGGTAAGTATACACCTTTAAAACCATCACCTCAGGAAATTTTAATCAATTTGTAGTTTCACCAGCTACTCTAGCTCTTTTATTCATTTGTCTGTTTTTCAGAGTTTGAAGAGATAACCAATTTCAGGAGTGAAAAAGTAGTTGGATCTGTGTCTTTGGAAAGACCCCTGAGGCTTGTGTAATTCAAGCTTAGCTCAACTCACATTCCAGTGACCATGCAGGGATAAAGATCACTGTACGTTTTAACATTTCTTGCAGTGTTGTAACTTTCTCCTTGTTTGGTCTTTTAACTCAGTCTGTTTCCTTGTGCATACTTTGCTGCAGGGACAAGATGGGGGAAGAGAGATAGAAATCATCATTCTATTCCTCACTGGCCTCAGAAAGTTAGGTCTCCTGCCGTATAGACACACAGCACTTTTGCTTCTCCCTTGCAGCACTTTTTATGATTATAAATCATCAATTATTTGTGTATTTGTTTAATGTTTATCTTCTTCACCAGAATGTAAGTTTCATGAGACAGGGGCCCTGATGGTCTCATTTACTGCTTCATCCCCAAAGTGTAGCATAATCCCTACCTATATTCGGCACTCAGTAAACATCTACAGAATGAATTACCATTGGAATGAGGACTCAGGATGGAAGAATATGTGTCTTCCGTAATGGGGCTCTCAGAGGCGGGGACAAGGAGGTGTCTTGGGTGCTTGCCCTGAAACCCTGAGGTGATGCTGGAAGAGCGAGCCCTGGGGAATCTGCCCTGGTGCTCCAGTCTCCCCTCCTCACAGGCTTGGGACTTTCAGTCAACAGTGCCTCATTGTGAAATTTGGTGAGTGGATCCGAGGGGACGAAGAATTGCGTTCTCTCATGTCCTCTTCCCTGAGCCTCTCTATCCTCCATCCCTTTTCCCTCTCATGCCTTTCTTTCTCCTGGTGTATCTCCTCGCCTTTCTTTCTAGGCTGGTATCTCCAGCTCACATGGAGCTCTTTCCTTCCCCACTCCACCCACTCCAGCAGGTGGCCTAACACTTCACACCAGCTACAGAACACTGCCTGCCACAGGGGGAGCTCTGCCTAGAAGGGATAATGCTGATGGATTATGTCAGGACACGTGAGCTCTCCGGATGACGGGACTACACTCAGCAAGAGGACATGATCATGGCCTCAGACCCATTTCCCAGGGCTTAGTCAACTGACAACTAACTTTCCTATTTTTGTTGATGATATCATCTGTCTCCTACCACGTGGGTTTGATTGCTTCCCTCCATCTGTCCAATCTTCTGTAGAAGGTATGGACAGATGGACATTGATGTCCAGGAGGGTCCTCTAGAAATGGGAGGAAAGCTGAGGGTCTCATTCAAAGGGTTCTTTTTGGAGAGATGGAAGATGCAAAGTGTATTCCAGAAGGACTTTGAAATCAGGGAGGTGGAAGGAAGGGAGAAAAAGGTTGAAGTGGGTCCTTTTGATGAGGAGATGGGTCACCTCCAGCCTCTCTGTGAGGTCCCTGGTGAAATAGAACAAAGGCTCTTTTCTTGCTGTCCTGGGCTGGGACAGCTGCAACAGGACTTCATATACCTGGACCTTCCAACAGATCTGGCTTGTTCATTGTGGTGTATGGAGAAGCTGGGACTTGTGGTGGCCCCTGGTGCAGTGCTGTGGTGTTTGTTACATGAAAACAGGCAGGGGAGGAGTCCCTTCTGCTTAGCCTACTCAGGTTGTTTGCTTGGTCCACGATGTTTGTTGTTGAAGTCTTGTGCTACTCGAATTTCAGTATTTTTTAAAATAAATTTATTTATTTATTTTTTTGTTTTTGGGTGTGTTGGGTCTTTGTTGCTGCTTACAAGTTTTCTCTAGTTGCGGCGAGCGGGGGCTACTCTGTTGTGGTGCGTGGGTTTCTCATTGCGGTGGCTTCTCTTGTTGCGGATCATGGGCTCTAGGCACGCGGGCTTCAGTAGCTGTGGCTCGTGGGCTCTAGAGCGCAGGCTCAGTAGTTGTGGCACAGGGGCTTAGTTGCTCCGCGGCATGTGGGATCTTCCAGGGCCAGGGCTCAAACCCATGTCTCCTGCATTGGCAGGTGGATTCTTAACCACTGCGCCACCAGGGAAGGCCCGAATTTTGGTATTTTTACTATGCAGGTGACTCTGGTGGTGAAGGTTAAGCTCTTGTACCCAGGGTTCTTTCTTATAGATAAGTGATTTCTAGTGTCTTCCACTGAGAATCATTGCCATAGTGAGCCATTGTAACTTATAAAGTGTTTCCTACTGTTTATGTCTATTGGGGTGAAAAAGGTTGAGTCACTATGTAAAATACAGAAGGTGGTTTGCAGCTTGCTTCTCCCTGTAGAACCTGGACTGTCAATCTCCCCAGAGTTCCTTTCTCTAAAGTATGGAAAGTATCCTATCCCAGAGGAAGTTCTATGGAAAACTTATAAGGAGATGGACCACAAGTTTCCATCTTATAGACTTTGATGTCTCCGGACTCTTTGTCAAGGCCTAGCAGATCCGGGTAGCACTGGAGAAGCTGGCTGGGATGGGGATGTTGTGAAAAGGGAGTACACTGGTGGTGGGAAGAGGATAACTCTCTTCCTGATGTCTGCATGAGGAGAGCATGTGACCAAAAAATTTATCCCACTGAAGCAATGGGACCAATTCACCAAGTGGTTAAGAGCCTTCATGACGAAGAGGTCCTTTTGGTTTAGATGACTCACAAGGCTTGTCCTGTGGTTATAAAACTCTTCTAAGAGGTGCTTTCATTCAAAGGCTACTTGTATAATACCCTCCACCTGAAATGTTACCATTCTATTCTGTTGGTGTCATCTGAAATGAAATGGGTGTAGGCACAGAGAGTTCTGGGACCCTTGTCCTTCAGGGGCAATGACAACAGAGTCCTGGCTGAAGGTGTCTACCTTAACCATGAACTGCTGTGTGTGAGTGGAATGCACCAGGATGGATGCAATGGTATGATCATTAAATTTGTTGTGTGCTTTATAGTGTACAGAGTTTATAAAGACTTCTATATTCTATTTTAGTTTTAAAATAGTCCTTAAGGTCAACAGGGCTGGCCTTATTATCAACAATTTGCAGATAGGTAAAGAAAGTCTCAAAAGGGACTTGTCCAGAACCATCTGGTCAGTGTGTTGCTGAACAAAAAGTTAAACCCAGGAGTTCTGGTTTCAAGTTCAAGCGTCTTGGGTTTTGCTACAGGACTCCCCTGAAATGAGCTGCCCTTTTTAACAGAGTGAAGTCAAGTGCCAATAGAAGCTGGAGGGCATGGAGAACTGCTGGCCATTAAATCATTAGGAGATCCCACTTTATTACCACATTTACAACTTCTTGAGTAAGACTAAACCTCTTAGGAACACAGAACATCTTTTGAGAATATTTCTCAAGCTCTGTTGCATAACCTGTGCCCCATGGGGGCATTATAGGTTGATCCTTACTTGGCGAGTGCTCAAGACGGAGCAGGGAAGAGCAATGTTGGCCAGGTAGGTGATCGTGACAGGTCACACACTGCTGGCCTTAAGCTCCCAGTGATGCCGAGCAGTGCCCTGTGGGGCTCCTGGGTACAAAGCCTTTCTGTGTCCCCCATTTCTTTGATTATAGGATATAGTCTTCATTCAGCCTCCTTGACCTTCCCCGAGTTCCAATGGGCAGATTCAAGCAGTTACTAATTAGGGAAGGGAGGGGATGAGAGACCAGGGAGAAACGAACCGTCAAGAGAAACAGTAGTGCAGCCTTGGGGCAAGGTCCTGGTTCCCCATCAAGGATACACACAACAATATCTTTGAGCTGTTTTGCAGATACTGAAACCCCCTCCAGGTGGGAGAAATTAATGATTAATGATGGTATGCTGCCCACAGGCAGGTAGACCTCAGACCAGTTGGAACCTGAAGGTTGATGATGCTGACTCCTACTTACCTCACCACCAACCCTTCAGAAGAATGTCCACAAGCTGATCACGGCCTCTTTGAACCATTACTGTAAAACTTCTCACTATCCTCTCCAAGAGGGACACATAGTTTTCAAGGGCAGGAGCACACTGTGTCCCCCTTTGCCTGGCAAAGCAATAAAGCTGTCCTTTTCTACTTCACCCCAAACTCTGTCTCTAAGATTTGATTCGGCACCAGTGTACAGAGAAGCTGAGCTTTCAGCATCATTAGGGGTCTGGGACCTGTCACGTGATGAACCTCCTTGGGTCCATCCAAACCCCTGCTATTCACAGGCCTCCCTGAGGATACAAAATTACCCTAGAGGAACCAGAAACCATCTCCAGTTCCTTTCCCCACTTCTCTGGACTCTACTGCTAGCTTCCTGTTCATCACCTCTGTCCCAGAGTTCAGTTTTGCAAGCCGGGGGTCCTTTTGCAATTGTTTGAAAAGCATGTGGGTGAGAGACAGCAGCTCCCTTTCCTTCACTATCAGATGATTTCAGACAAAATGAGCAGTACAGGCCCAGTTCCTGATCCTTTGTCTTCCCAAAGAAAACAAACACCTTGGAATGTATGTTCCACTAACCAAAAAAACGGAAAGATGGGAACTCCTCCATCTAGGAAAGCTCACAGAGTGGCCTTAGCTCCAGCCCAGACAGAGTTAATTCCCTTCATAATATCTGGGCCTGGGGCAGGAGCTCCATGCAGCAGACCCAGGGGTAGGACAGGCGCCATCTCAGATGCTGAGGTACATCTATTTATCAAGGAGCTGAACCCAGCCCTGGGTTGTCTGGGATCAGGTTCTCTTTATGGGGACACTGAAGACCGGTGACTTCCACCAGGCTGATGTTTTACTGAGCACAAAGGTGGGCTTCAGGCCACCGCATCAGTAGAGTAGCCCAGATGGGGAGCCAGGAGCTGGAGAGAGGGCAGCTCCCACTCCAGCCATCAGGGGGGAGGTAAGCACCTGCCCTTGTGGGACCAGCCCCGTACTGAGCCTGTAGACGAACGAGCCAGGGCATGTGATCAGAGGCTGGATCTGGGCACAGGCAAGGATGTGCTCAAGGGTCCTTGCCAGGGTTTTGATTCAGAAACCAAAACTGGATAAAAAGCAGATCAGCCTGGATACCTCTTCTATGAGCATTTTGTGCTCCTGCGTTCAGTTCTAGGTCCAGTACTAAGCAGAGCCACAGATAAGATTGTCAGCTGAGCTGGGTCCAGGTATACCTTCCCCTTAAGGAGTCTCAGGTCACACAGTCCTTGCCCTTTGCTCTCTGATCCATCTTCCCAGTCAGTGCTTAGCCTTTTTCCTAGGCTGAGCCCTACCCCTTCAAAGAAGACCTTTCTAGCAGTATAGCTCACCCGTAAGCTGCAAGAGGGCAGACCTCGGAAAAAAGGATACAGATAAGCTGGAACTCTGCAGGCTTTTCCCCTCCTCATCAGTGGCCAGAAAGCCTGTCCCTTAAGTATCTGAAGCAGGGGGTCCTCCTGCCACTATCCTTCTCCCCCAGCTGTGGGGGTGGAATGAGGTAGGAGAGGGGGCAGCTCCAGGTGAGACAGTAAAAGAGCCTCAGACACTGTTGGCTGAGCCTGGGAGGGAGGCAACGCTTTTCATTCTCCTGTGCCTGCCCTTGGTCCCCACCCCGATCCATGGCGGCCCTTTCAGGAGCTTTTAGTGGACATGAACTCAGACCTGCTGTGGAGTCGGCCAGCCTCCCTCTCCTCCCAGCTCCACCCATTGCTCTTTCATCACCTCTTTTGTCTGACTCAGGACCATCCCTCCCAGGCCCCATCTGCAAGCAGCCTTCCTCTCCCCACAACATTCACCTCTCTCACCCCTCCTTCCTTCCAGCCCCAGTCCCCTCCTATTCCCCTGAACAGGCACCTGCTTTCCTCCTACAAAAGGCAGGAGACAGAGGCTGTGTGAGACCAGCTGCTCTCACACTCCCTTTCCTTTGCCCTCTGCTGGCTAGGCTGGGCTGTGCCTTTGTTCTCTTCCCTCCCAGGTGAGAGTGGGTACCTGAGGTGCCAGGTCTCCTGCCTCATTCCCCATGAATGCTGTGCAATGTCCCGAGGGGCAGGAGCTACAAAAGCTGGGGAGCGGAGCCTGGGACAACCCCGCCTACATTGGCGCCCCCTCCCTGCGTGGGACACCAAGGATCTGTACCATCTCCAGTGCGGTGCCTCCTCCATCCCAACCCAAGAAGCCTGAAGATGCACCCCAGGAGAAGGCACACAAGACCCTGGTGTCCAGTTGCTGCCTTCAGATCTGTCGTGGCATCAGAGGTACCTGGTGGGGGAGGGTTCTCCTGAGATACTGGAGTCAGGAGAAGGGGTCCACAGAAGCTGTTGGAAGGGGATACAGTCTGAAGAAGAGGTGGAATCTCAGTGTGTCTTTGGGGTTTGTGAATGGTCTGCGTTAGAGCTGAATGCCCCAGAGTACGGAGGCTAGTTTAGTGGTCTCCCAGAGGGAGAGCCTGGCACAGTCATCTCTTGGGGACCCAGAAGGGTATGAGGGAGCTAGTTTGAGGGAAGACACGGATATGATGATGCCTTAGACTGCCCCACCTGAGATAAGGTGACAGGTAAAAGGGCTGGGGTGGAAATGAGAATAAAGTCCAGGGACTGATAGGTAGGGTAACTGGAAGGAGCCCTGCTGTTGGGAATCCTGGGCGTCTTTCCAATGTCCCTCCCTTAGAACTTTGGGGAACAACCTTGACTGAGAACACAGCTGAGAACCAGGAACTTTATGTCAAGACCACCCTGCGGGAGCTTTTGGTGTACATCGTGTTCCTGGTGGACATTTGTTTCTGCAAGTAACATCTGTCTCTGTGCATCTGTGTGTGAGAACATCTATGTGTACAACAACTGGGCACACACCTCTGTGGGCAATATCTGTGGGGACAGCCTCCATCTGTACGAGCAGGCTGTGCCCTGGGATCTTTATATCAATAATAACATTCTATTTTATACCTTTTCAGCTTAAGATTTTTTAATTAAAAAGAAGTTGTCACTGAGTTCAGGAGAAAAAGGCAGACTATTGGAAAGCTTTTAATACAGGTTACTTCTTCAAGTGTTATAAGAGGAATCCACTTTTTAAGTTCAAGTTCCTGATATCTACTTAACAGCCACTGTTTTCTATTAGCAGGTGGAAGTTTTTACCCTTCTGTAAAGAGTGGAAGACACTCCTTTTTATTTATTTATTTATTCATTTATTTGGTTGCACCAGGTTTTAGTTGTGGCAGGCAGGCTCCTTAGTTGCAGCTCCCAGGCTCCTTAGTTGTGGCATGTGAACTCTTAGCCATGGCACGCTTGTGGGATCTAGTTCCCTGACCAGGGATCGAACCCGGACCCCCTGCATTGGAAGTGTGGACTCTTATCCACTGTGCCGCCAGGGAAGTCCCAAGACACTTTTTTCTGTTCAGAAAAAATAGTTTGGTGGGTTTCACAGAGTTATTATACTAGGTCTGATCCACATTTCTTTGGAGGCAGGAGGAAAAAGATTCAGCAGGCCTTAGAGCTCAGATCCCTAATAAAAGGATTAAAGATGCAAATGGTGTGGTAGTCAGTGCAGCTAAGGTTCTCCCATGTGAAAGAGCACCATGCCACAGGCTTTGAGGGAAGCTTATCTGAAGATCTATCTATAGATATAAGCTGGGAAGGTTTGGTCTCTAAGCTGAGAGAAGCAAGTGAATAGATAGATCGGTGAACCATGGAAAAATAGAGTCAAAGAATTAGAGATAATAATAAAGGTGGACCAAACAGATGCTATAAGGCCTACAGATAAACATGCTTTGCTTTTCTATTAATTGCTTCTTTAAATTTTTGCACAAGTGAATTTTGGCTAGTTTCATAGAGTTGTGTGTGTATGCGTGTGTTGACTGAAGCTGCAGCTTGGACCTTACAACTAAGGTGCCTCCATCACTAGGTGGCTTTATACCCCACAGAAGCCTCTGTTCTTTTTAGGATGCATGAATCGTTTGCAAGTAGACTCTGAAGGTCTGATTATATAAGTTTTGGTTAAAAATTTCATCATCTTTGTGAGCTATCCACATGTGTATGAGCCCTCTAGGAAAGCTGAACACTTGTTTTGGTTGTACTCTGTTGGGACTCACTCTGTGGGGATAGACGGGACCGTTCTACATGTTTACCACAGGCCATCAGCATGGAGTGAAAGGAGGCAGAGCATATGGGGAACAACAGTCAACCCAGTGTACATTTTTGGGGGCCCATTTGATTCCTTTCAGCAATGACTCTCAGAAATTCGTTTGTTGACATACTGACTTTTTGTCTCAACCATCTGCTAGGAAGGAGTGTCTCTCTCCTTTTTCAGATCCTGTGACAACAGCTGTAACCTGCAGGCAGAGCCTTTCTCTATAAATGGCTCAAATATCTCCATTTCCAGGTTAGCCTTTGGAGCAAGATTGGGAGGTTTCTAGCTCCCCAGAGTTAGACTGAACCATTCTGGCTTCAGGGTGGGAAGCTTAAGTTCTATCCACTTGTGTTCTCTACTTTTTGAGATCTCAATGCACCGACAAATACTAGATGGTCTGTAGCTTGCCGAAGTCTGAGTCGTGGACTCAGTCCAATAATTACAGAATCCTGAAGCGGCCAGGAGCTTTAGAGGTCATCTAGTTCAAGGATGCAGAAATCCTTTCTCCAAGATCCCTCCTGTGGTTCTCTGTCAGGTGACCAAGCAGCCCCATCGTGGGGAACATCCACAGGAGTTTCACTCTTTCATGGGGCAGCTCTTCTACTGTTGGGAAGCCCTATTTCCTTTCATCCACAGAGCTCCCCTTTCTATGCCAGACATTGGACTGAGATATACAGAGATGACTGATCCTTGAGCCTTTCAGGGGCTCATCTTCTCCTTTTGAGAACTTCCTTCTATTGAGCTGTCTACTTCCCTGTTACTCTCCGAAGTGACAACCCTTCCACTGTGACTGAATGTGGCTATCGTGTTTCTCCTTGGTAATATGTTCTCTGGATTAGTTACCTTCTAGTTTCTCACTAAACCAGTTCATTATAATATGGTTTCCAGAAGTGATATTATGCAGAGATTGAAGGCATGGGCTCTGAATTTACACAGACTTGGGTTCAAACACCAGGTTCTACCATTTACCAGGTGAGGGACTTTGAGTAAGTTGCTTAACTTCTCTGAGTTTCAGTTTTCTCATCTGTACCTACCCAATCCAATAAGATTATTACATAAGGTACATGAGGCAATATCCATGAAGTCATTACCTCTGTGCCTAGCATATAGTAAAAAATATTCCATAATGCTCACCATCCTGGTTGCCTGTCTCTAGGCCTGATCTATATGATGCCCAGTAATGGACAAAATACTCCATAGTCAGTCTGACCAGTTCAGAGTTCTGTGATGCTGTTACTTCAGTTGTATCCAGAGTTGTGGAATATATGAGGACATGCAGAGGAAATAATTTCTAAACTAAAATCTGAAAAATGAGGAGGATTTAGCTCCCTGAAAGAGAGGTAAAGACAAGGGAAGTTTCTGGGGAGAAAGAACAGCATGTGCCAAGTCCCAGAAGTGACAGAGGGCGTGGTCTAGTGAGAGTGCATCAGTGTGGCTGGAGCAGGGAGTTTGAAGAGCAAAGTAGTAAAAGATGACAAAGCTGGCCGTTTAAGCAGGGGCGGGTCATGAAGGGTCTTATAAGGTATGATATGGAATTGGGATGCTATCCTGAGGACCCTGTGGGGAGCCACTGAAGAGTTATAAGCACAAACGCCAGCCCCCTCAAGAACATTCTTATGAAAGAGAATTTGGAGGCCTTCACATTCTGATGGTTCCTACAACACATAACAAAATACCACTAAAACTAGTTTCCTAGGCCCCATGCTCTCCCAGCCCCTTCCTTCCTTCAGGCTAATCTTCAGGCAACACTGAGCCTTGGACATGGTCTCAGTAGGGCTTCTTTGGTGCTCTCCAGGGTCCTGACCTCACCTGTCTGGCATCTCTGCTTCCTCAGCCTCCCTGAGCTCTGGCCACCTGCAACTAGACTATGTATTCTCAGTGGGGATGATATAGCCCCCAGAGGGGTGGAAGTAGTTTCTTTCAGGGCAAAAAAATCCCACTTAGATATTTCAATAGCTTTTTGGCTCTCCAAAGGGCTATAGTACATAAGCAAATGTAGAGAATATATGTGGTATTAAAATTTAATTAGGGTGGAGGGTGATTAGGAAGACAATGTCTAAAGAGGCTCCTGGGTTAGGGTACAATACAAAAAATGTTAAGAAACACTAAAATAGACCCACCTAATTTTGCTAGTCAGTGTGCTGACTAAGATGTCCTACCTAAGGACGGGGATGCAAGTCCTGGCCATAGAATCTGGTATAAAGCAGGGTGGCTGTTGTGTTGTTCTATCAGGATGCTGTCTTCTAAGAGCTGCCATGACATGTGATATGCTGCCATGATATGGATATGCACTGTACCAGTTTGCTTTTCCCTGTCAATTCCTGAAACTAGGTTCAGATGCTCCAGGACCCATATTGGCATTAAGATAAATACTCTGGCATAATGGAAAGATAGAACATCGGAGTCAGACTAACGGGATTCAGATACCAGCTCTTCTGCTTATTGGTTTTGTGATGTTAGGCACTTCCTTGTTGGTAGAACAGGGATAATAATACTTATCTTATGGACATAACATATATAAAGAATCTAACACAATTACGGATAGTATTTATCTTTGTGTTATCTAGGGGAATTTCAAAATACTTAATCTTTTAGTCTGTTTGTAAAAAATACCTTTCAAGAAAGAAGCAAATCTGAAAAGACTATATAATGTATGGTTCTAACTACATGATATTCTGGAAAAGGCAAAACTATGGAGGTAGTGAAAGGACTGGTGGCTGCCGGGGTCTTGGGGGAAGCTGAAATGAGTAGGTAAAGCATAGAGGATTTTGGGGCAGTGAAACTACTCTGTATGACATTATTATGGTAGATACATGTCATTATTATACATTTATTTAAATGCATAGAATATACAACACCAAGAGTGAACCCTAATGTAAAGTATGGACTTCGGGTAATGGTGATGTGTCAACATAGGTTCATCAGTTGTAACACGTACCACTCTGGCTGTGTGTATGTGGAGGTAAGGGGTGTATGGGAAATCTCTGCACCTTCCACTCAATTTTGCTTTGAACCTAAAACTGCTCTAAAAATTAAAGTCCTTTTAAAAAAGTCTATTTTAAAATTTATTTATTTATTTATTTATTTATTTATGGCTACGTTGGGTCTTAGTCGTGGCACGCAGGCTCTCTAGTTGCAGTGCTTGGACTCAGTTGCCCCGTGGCGTGTAGGATCTTAGTTCCCCGACCAGGGATTGAACCCACGTCTCCTGCATTGGAAGGTGGATTCTTAACCACTGGACCACCCGGGGAGTCCCTAGAATGTCTATTTTAAAATACATTTCAAATTTGTAGTTGGCTCCACATTTAGGGATAGTATCATTTGAGCAGCATCCACTTCTGACATTAAAACTTTAAGGCATTTTCTCCAGAAGACCCCAGTTTATCACTACCACCACCACCATCATCATCATCGTCATTATCAACAGCATAAACAACAAAGCTTTATTGAATAATTTTTCAATGTGCCTGGCACAATGCCAGGTACATTATCTCATTGACTACTCCCAATAACTCTAAGAAATTGGTTCTGTTATCACTCCCATTTTACAAATTGGGAAAAGTTTAGATATGGCAAATAGCTTGCCTAAGGCCACACAGCAAATAAGTGGCAGAAGTAGGAATCCAACTGGGGACTAGCAGCCTGACTCACATTCTAAG